GCTTTACTGTTTTAATAAGCCAACAAAAAACTAGTATTGCATGCTATTGTGAGAATAAGTTCTGAAAATGTTTGTTCATACTTGTAATGTCCCTCCAATGGCACTTGTACGATTCCTTCTTCCTCTGCCAAAATACTCTGCTCATTCCTGGCAGTAAACACAGGGAGAGAGAAAGAGAGAGAGAGTTTATTCCCGTCCAGGCAAAGAGAACTTCAGAGACCCTTTGAGATTAAATAACTTTGCTGAAGGACATTTTGGCAGATCAATTCATGTTCCATTTGTTTGGCATGAAACGAATGCATTGAGACACTGAGGTGGGTGAATCGGGGTCCCTCTATAAGAAACGAATCATGGCAATTTTAGCAAGAGTAAAACATGGGATTATTTGCCAGGGGAGAGGTCTCTGAATGCAGGAAAAACAAACTGTAAAACTGGAGCACACAGCAGATCTCCTCATTAAAGCAGGACCTCCGTCAGTTCTCAAAATCTCATTCAGCTTATATAACCGGCAGTCATGTCGAATCATTCAGTTATATAGAAATCATCTTCCAAATGCTAATTACTTGTGGTGTTATGTTTGTAGCAGGTTATTATTCCCCCTATTATCTATTTTTCTTCTTAACCCTTTATGACCTGCCATAGAACAATTCCACCAGAGTATATCTTTCTATTTTTACATGCTGTGCTGTCATTCTTTTGAGCATTTTCATACGCCATACATCAAAATAATAAAACTATGTTTGTAATAAATCAATAGTAACTACACTCTAAACAATGCTGGGTTGTTTAAACCCAATTTTGGGTAAAATATGGACAAACTCAGCCATTGGGTTAAAAATGTAATTTAAAAATGTAACACAATGGCTGGGTTTGTCCATATTTTACCCCAAACTGGGTTAAAACAACCCAACATTTTTAGAGTGTAGATAAATATCTCAAAAGTGCAATAAACAAAAAGAAAAACAATTAAAAAAAAATCTACATATTTTATTCAATAAAAAAATTGTGAGAAACATGCATAAAACAATTTGAACCTAAACAGAATTGATTTGAACTGTTTACATAAATTAGTTTTTAAGATACACTCATTTTTACACTCATTCAAAAAAAAAAATGCCATGTAAAATATTCAATTACATTTGTGGTAACAGATAACATTTTGCTTTTGAATATTGATTGAACATTGAATTGGTTAGAATATAAAATAAATAGACACTGTCAGAACAATTAATAATAAAATAAAATAAATATAAAAGCCGATAAGCAGACGGACATGCTATCTGGATATATAACTAACTCAATGTGAAGGAATAGTTGACAAATACTTACAGAGTAGTTGTTGTGTTTGGTAATTGTTGCTGTTGTTTTTAACTACTTGGACAAGAAAGATGTGTCCGGTCTGCTTATTATTATTAATTAATTATTATTATTAAGATCATCGTGTGCAATGAATTTAGAGGGAAATATTCTGCATATAAAGTCTATTTGACATAAATGCATTAGATAAAACTAGCAAACACACTAAACACTAAAGTGTTTTCCTCATTCTTTTTCTTCATAGGCATTTGAAAAACGTCTTCAATAAAACGTTCTAATGCATTAAAGCCCAGCCAGCTCAAAAATCAAAGCAGATCAATCAAAATATTACAAACTTTGATTTGAAGTATTTGGAAAAACAACAAACGCACAAAACTTACAGTAATTCAGATGTACAGTTTATGTTGTAACATTTAAAATCTGAAAGCATGGCTTCGCCAAACCGCTTGTTCGAGTGATTACGTGATTCATTTATCCAATGAATCGTGTACATTTGGATTTATGAAATAATAAATAATGAATAAGGCTCAATATCACTAAAAGCATGAGTGAATGTCATACCGCTCAAATCCAACAGAGGGCATCGCATTCAAAGGTTTGAGATCAAAATGAACCCATTTATTCAGCAAGGACACATTAAAATCATCAAAAGCGACAGTAAAAATATTACAAAATAATCTATTTCAAATCATCTAAACCTTTTAATCGAAGAAAAATGCATCACGGTTTCAACAAAAATATGACGGATTTCAACATTGATAATTATAAGAAATTGTGTTAGAATATTTGATCAAATAAAGGCGGCCTTGGTGAGCATTTGATACTTCTTTCTTAAACAATAACACAACTTTTCAACAGTACTGTTAATGATTTTCATGATTTAATGATTTGCCTTTTAGACCCCTCGTCCAATCTTCGATGTCATTTTCAAAATGGCCGCCAAGTGAATAAGGCGAATTGACTCTTTCTTTTCTGCGTGGACCTTGTAAATTGCTTGTTCACAGTGAATGTTACAGTTAGATATAATAAATGGTGAATCTCACCTCTCGCTCGGCGTCCTCCAGTTTCTTCTTCTTGCTCTCGGGCATGAGGTCATCGAGCCAGCTGAGCTCTCTCTTCGTGAAGAAAACATCCAGCAGCTTCCTTATAAACACCAGCGCTAACACCTGCCAGGAGCAAAGCACTAATTCAATTAGCACATATTTCAGCACAAACATTCATCAAGAGAGGCCATTACACTAGCAGAGAAACGAAGACTGACTCCATGATCTTAAAACCTTCTGATTAGTTTTGTGCCTGTGAGAAGACATTTAGTATAGAAACCTTTGACTGGTGTTGCAAATTAACTTGGTTGCAAGAATTCAGGCAAGATCTACTGTACGATGTATGAAATTGCACACCGTGTTAAGTATTAGCGATATACACTCACCTAAAGGAACTGCCTTAATTCTACGTGGCATTGATTCAACAAGGTGCTGAAAGCATTCTTTAGAAATGTTGGCCCATATTGATAGGATAGCATCTTGCAGTTGATGGAGATTTGTGGGATGCACATCCATTCATTCCACCACATCCCAAAGATGCTCTATTGGGTTGAGATCTGGTGACTGTGGCGGCCATCTTAGTACAGTCAACTCATTGGCATGTTCAAGAAACCAATTTGAAATGATTCCAGCTGGAAGTAGCCATCAGAGGATGGGGACATGGTGGCCATAAAGGATGGACATGGTCAGAAACGATGCCCAATTGGCACTAAGAAGTGTGCCAAGAAAACATCCCCCACACCATTACACCACCACCACCAGCCTGCACAGTGTTAACAAGGCATGATGGATCATGTTCTCATTCTGGTTACGCCAAATCATCTGAATGACTCGACAGAAATCGAGACTCATCAGACCAGGCGACATTTTTCCAGTCTTCAACTGTCCAATTTTGGTGAGCTCGTGCAAATTGTCGCCTCTTTTTCCTATTTGTAGTGGAGATGAGTGGCACCCGGTGGGGTCTTCTGCTGTTGTAGCCCATCCGCCTCAAGGTTGTGTGTGTTGTGGCTTCACAAATGCTTGTAACGAGTGGTTATTTCAGTCAAAGTTGCTCTTCTATCAGCTTGAATCAGTCGGCCCATTCACCTCTGACCTCTAGCATCAACAAGGCATTTCCGCCCACAGGACTGCCGCATACTGGATGTTTTACCCTTTTCACAGCATTCTTTGTAAACCCTAGAAATGGTTGTGTGTGAAAATCCCAGTAACTGAGCAGATTGTGAAATACTCAGACACCAACAACCATGCCACGCTCAAAATCGCTTAAATCACCTTTCTTTCCCATTTTCCCATGTGATTGGTTGATTAGAAAATTGCATTAATGGGAAATTGAACAGGTGTTCCTAATAATCCTTTAGGTGAGTGCAAGTATAAAATGTTAAATATATGTTAAACATATACCATCATTGGGAAGACGATGGCAGCCTTGGAGGTTTTGATGACCCAGAGGAGAACCAGACAGCTGAGCTGGACGATGGTGAACAGATGAACCTTTCGGAGCGGGACGTGTCTCAGGTAAATGAAGTCTGGCTGGTGTTTAGCCGGCATGCCGAACAATCGCAGACGATCAAAAAACTAAAAGGATGATAAATATGTACAGTATAATAGAGCAGTGGTTTTCAACCAGGGGGACTTACAAAAGTGGTTCAAAATGATTCAATTAATCTAAAACAACAACAACAAAGTCTAGATATTTCTCATTTTAGTTCAACTATTTGTCAGGGTTGCTTCAGTTTTTGGAAAAACTGGATATATGAATTAGCCTGAATTTAAAAAGTGTGTTTTTAGGCCTAAAAAAAGTAACATAAAATGATAAAATCGCATCATTCGCTTCAGTAATTTTTGCCTGTACAAAACAATCTGCTTTGCCGCTTGATGTTGCAATCTGTTATTTCTTATCGTAT